CGGGGCAGGCCCGAGGGGCAGAGGTCAGTGCAGAGAGGTGAGTGTGCACTGCAGCCCGGGGCAGGCCCGAGGGGCAGAGGTCAGTGCAGAGAGGTGAGTGTGCACTGCAGCCCGGGGCAGGCCCGAGGGGCAGAGGTCAGTGAACAGAGGTGAGTGTGCACTGCAGCCCGGGGCTGGCCCCAGGGGCAGAGGTCAGTGGAGAGGGTTTCCTTGAGCAGTGTGTATGAGGAGAGGCCTTGTGTTGGAGCAGGATGGGGTCAGGATGGGGAGTCAACTGGGCCTCAAGAGTGGAAAGCCAGAGAAAGAACTTCAGTGTAAAGACAAGCCCATCACTTTTAGGAACTGCCTTCAGAAGGCAGTTGATTGAAAAATCAACCTTATTCCTTTAGCAGTTTTTCCTCAAATCCCGTCACACAAATTATTTACCTCGCCTGGGTGCACCAGACTTTGTTCTAAATGGGTCTTAGACCCCAAAGGTTTCCAAATGCTTTGAGCATGTTTAGCCTGCCTCGTAAAGCAGCACGTGTCACCCCTGGTGGCAGGATGGGCCACATGCCCCTCACTTATCCCGAAAAGCCAGTGACTAATTCCCCGCTCACTTTTTCTCAGCCCCAAATACAGGTAAAATCACGACTCATCATGCTTTAGGAAATAAAAGGTCGGATTTTTCTAGAATGGGACTATGGTCCATAGAGAGGCTTTGACAAACTAAATTACAATATATACCCACATGTAAGGAGAAGTTCCTTCCCTCTTCCCCAGACCATCTTTTTGAAAGGAGGGAATTGCCCTCTACTCAAATCCTTACCAGCTCTCTTCTGTTACAGGGCAGCCTCTTGATTACTGTGTTCTGAACAGTAAGTACCATGTAAGAAAGACACAGTAGCTTTAACTGAGCTCAATCGATTCTAGTCTGGGTTGCCTGTAGAAGTCACTGGGAAGAATTCATGAAAGAAAGAGAGGGAGAGGGAAAGACTATTAGTGCAGGAGTCATAGTTATCCTTAGAGAAAAAGCATCACTCTGCCAAGTTTTGTCAATTGTAAATTAGCTTTTGAAAGATCCTTTAAAAAGACATATTTTGTCAGATCACTACAAGAGAACTGGGGGAAAACACTTCCTGATGTTGTGCCACTGGATACTTAAAGCTTGGGGTAAAGACTGGAATAATCATATCATTTACAGACTTAGAAAAGTTCATTATCTTAACTCAGGAGGGAAGTTGATATTTCTGGAAAATGGTGTGTGATGACTCACAAGCAGTTTCTAGGGATGCCAAAGAAATGGATTTTGAAGCATGTGGCCAGTTTGAATAAAGTTATGTTATGTGATAGAGAGCAAAAAAAGCTATCAATTAGAAAATAATACCTTATTCTGTGGTATGAGAGATTTAAATTATCTGTGTATAGCTAAGTTATTTGACTATGTAATCTGAACTATATATTACAAGTTTATTTGCATCAGTTAAGAATGCTAAATTAAAATCACACTGGGAAAATCAGGGGTCCCCTTATATTCAGAAATTTCCAATGAGAGGAGATGGAACACTTTTTAAAAAATTTTTTTAATAACATTTGCAGGTTCAATAGAGAGGAGTAGAATCAGAAGGGAAAGCCCAATTATGCTCTGTATCTGCAGTTGGAGAAATGGAGAAATAGTGCCTCATTCAGAGAGAGAAACTTTGGTGATGTTCCCAGAGCACATTGATTGTTCAACACATGCTAGATACAGTACAACTGTTATCTTTGTTGTTTTATGTTGAGAGTTTTTAAGCTTGATCATATTTTTAATGATTATAAAAGTAATACTACTCATTCTCATTATTTTTGAATTCCATATTTGTGAATTCACCTACTAGCTAAAATTTACTTCCAACCCAAATCAGTGCTTGCCACATTGTCAAGGCCACTCATGGACATGAAATGTGGGACAAAAAATTGAGGTGTGCTCATTCCCAGCTAAGGTCAGACAAGCCTCTGTCTTCCTGTTTCGGTGCTCACACTGTAAATAAGCTCCTTTTGAGATCTCTTTAGTCTCATTTTTGTGCTTTTTATTTAGCACTCAAGGATAGTGCTGAAGTGCTGACTGGTGTTCCTAAGCGCAAAAAGGCTGTGATGCACCTTATGGAGAAAATATGTGTTGGACGAGCTTCGTTCAGGCAGCTATGGAGCCATTGGTCATGAATTCAATGCTAATGAGTCAACTACATATATTATATACGGTGTCTTTCAACAGAAACACATTTAAAACAAGGTGGTATATTGATTGGTTGATGGAAATGCCGTGACTAAAGGTTCACAGGAACCTAATCTTTTTAGTTTCCCTTGGGCAATGGTTCAAGATGTGCTCATTCAGTGTCCATGGCCCGTTTAGAGAATGTGAATACCGCAGATCATGACATGTGATGGTTCTGTGGCACATTCTGTTTGGTGCCATGAAAGAAAGTGAAAGTTAGTTGCAGAGTTGTGTCCGACCCATTGTCTGACCCCATGGACTGTAACCCATCAGGCTCCTCTGTCCATGGAATTTCCCAGGCAAGACTACTCGAGTGGGTTACCATTTCCTCCAGGGGATCTTCCTGACCCAGGGATCAAACTCAGGTCTCCTGAATTGCAGGCAGATTCTTTACTAACTGAACCACTAGAGAAGCCCTTTATTGATATATCCATACACATTTAACAATCAAGATTATTCTAAAACACAATTCAGGTGGTAACTTACCATCATAAAACTGGGATGAGTGGCTTCTAATTTTTTAATTCAGGTCCAGAAGTGCGGAAATTAATGAGAGAAAGTTCCATCTGTATGAGGTGAAAGGAGGGAAGCCAAGTGAGGTTTTCACATTTCCTCCAGATATTTGCCAGAATGCTGACAGTCAGCTCTGCTGCTGCTGCTGCTAAGTCACTTCAGTCGTGTCCGACTCTGTGCAACCCCATAGATGGCAGCCCACCAGGCTCCCCCGTCCCTGGGATTCTCCAGGCAAGAACACTGGAGTGGGTGGCCATTTCCTTCTCCAATGCATGAAAGTGAAAAGTGAAAGTGAAGTTGCTCAGTCGTGTCCGACTCTTAGCGACCCCATGGACTGCAGCCCACCAGGCTCCTCCATCCATGGGATTGTCCAGGCAAGAGTACTGGAGTGGGGTGCCATTGCCTTCTCCGACAGTCAGCTCTAGTTGAGGTCATATTCATCTGGTCACTAAAACAGCACCTTTCATCCACCTGTTTATAATGGGAAGGAAAGGGGGTGAAGAACTTAGGCAAAGTACAAAATCTACCCACATGGGCATTTCAAAATGAGTATTCTGCATGAAACAAGTTCCAGAAAGTGCTGGTAGATGTTACCCATGGAGTGCAGTTCAAATTTGCGATCACCATGAGACTTGAAGTGTAAGAACATCTTCTTACTCTCATTCCCCAAATCCAATCAAATATGACTCTGAAACCCCATGCCCCTGTGAGGGAAGGCATTGAAGCACATTTATTTTAGGGGTATCCTCCTCCTCGCCACACTCCAGGAGGAGTTTTCAGGGGACTCACACTTGGAGGAACACTTGGCCAAGGCTCTCAGAGGTTGGTGCACACTAAACCATGCCGCTGTCTCCGTTTCCAAGCCAGCGCGGCCCCTGCCGTGGAGGGTGGTGCTGGGGGGAGGCAAGGGCAGCTTCCTGTTTCCAGCTGTTTGATTCTTGCCTGAGGTCTGGCTGCAGAAGCATAGGGCTCATCCCTGAACATCTGCTGCACCCTCATTGCAGGCCTGCCCCTCCGCTGGACACAAACTCCAAACCACTGATGGTTTCTCTTTGGAAAATCTCTTTTCCTCAAGGTTAACTCCTCCTAACCCCAGAGACCCTTCCATTTCTTGGATCAATTAATTTTTTTTCATGCAAGGATACTTGAGCCTGGCCTCAGATCAAAGGAAAGTCCCAAGTCTCCAACATAAAGGTCTAGGATGGGTGGGGGGGGGGCACAACCCTCTTTTATTCTTTTCATGGTCATGAAAATGTATCTCACTTTCAAAAAATTTTCTCTCATTCCTCTGAAAAACAGGTGAGGAGGCACTAAAAAGAAATTTGCCATTAACAGTGGACTTCCTTGTTTTGTAACTTCTCAGAGCGGTTATTGTGCACCGTGAATCTCCAGGAGGGGGCTGGAGCTGCGACTGCGTCTCAAATATACTGAACTCTGCATCCCTTGGATATGGAACAGCTCTTGTGGTTGGTGCTTGGTGATGGTACCTGGGTACCCAAGAAAGTAAGTGGCTTCCGAAGGCCCTGAAGTTGGCTGATGATAGATTTCCTCCTCTTGAGCATATTTCCCCAACAGACGATGAAATCATTTATCCCAGGTCTACCTGTGAAAGTGCTCTTAGGGGAGCCTATATTATCACTTGCATTCTGTGTGGTTTCAAATTTTCTGAATTTCTTGCAGCTCACAGGGCTTTGGTCTGACAGGTGTGCAGTTTCTGCTGTTTTAACTCAAAGAGAGTCATCTCCCTTGCAGAACCTGATTCTTGCTGAAATCCTCTTGGTGGCTGAGGGATGCTGAAAGCCTGGCTTGGGACTAAGACAGTCTGGGCCATGGCTGCCAGCCTTCCTTTTGTGAGTCAGAGAAGGAATTCAAGATAAGCCATAATGGAAAATATCATTAAAAGAATGGGCATGTGTGCATGTGTGCATGACTGTCTTTCTACTTGAATCACTTTGCTGTATGGCAGAAATGGACACAATATTGTAAATCAACTATTCAATTAAAAAGAAACCATAGTTTCTTAAAGACAAGAACAAATGAGAATAAAAGAGTACATAACACACTGTAGACAAGAAATAAATGTTTATTGTATTGAGGGAACTAAGGAGTGCTCTGAAAGATAAAAAAACAAAACAAAACAAAACCCATAAATGGTGAATCCACAAGTGATGTGATAAAGAGACTACCCTTTGTCTAGCTTTGGTGTTACCTTCATGTCTAGAGATGCTCATTCTCTCTCTCTCCCTTTTTTCAGAGACTTGGCCAGAAAGGGGGGCGGGATGGGTCCTCTGGTGCCCACTGGGCTTGCCTTGTGAGCAGTGGTGAGCAGTGTGAGTGTGTGGACACGCCTCGCTCCCCAGGTCACGTCTTCCTGGAGGAGTTTGCCGAATGAATCTTCACACCTATTGGCTGTGAAACTTGAGAAAATTGCTCTTTGATCCTTGGTGTCCCACATCTCAAATTTGGATAGCTATATCTACCCAGTGTGGTGTGTGCTCTTTTATTAGAATTGCATCTGAGAACATGTGGGGATCGAGTTGAAAGCCAATTTTATAAGCTCTGAAGTGAGGGTCTGGTTGACACAGTTTATCATTGCCGTCATAGCCACGGGCAGTATACAGGGATGAGTCCCACCTTTCTGTGTGATTCATGGGTCAGGAGAGCTAGGGTCTGAGAAGCATCCCTTGGAAAGGAAGCTGCTGGTAGTTTTCTGATCGTCTGGCTTTCAGGTAAAGGATGGGTCCCAGGGTCCTGCCGTGGGGGAACCAGAGGGGAGAGACCTCTGAGGAGCCTTAGGGTTCTGGGAAAGGCTTGAAACAATGTTCTGGGTCCTGAAGGAGGAGACTTCTGCTCCTACATAAATCAACAGACTACTGTTGTCATTAACTTTGGCAAAGTTATTATTCCTACATCCTCTCTCCCTGTCTTCCTATTTCAATCTACAAAGAAAGGGAGGAATCCCAGGACCTGAAAACTGGTTTTGTAAACTAGGAAATCACATTACCGCTGATATTAGAAAGTGACATGAAAGAAGAAAACATGAGAAATTAAGTTGCAGGGAATAGGTTTTGTTGGACTAAATCAGAGATAAGCAATATCTGCCTCTCATTTCAGGCCTGGGCTCAAAATAAGATGTGTGTGTGTGGTTTCTTGTTGGCACACTCTGATGTGTGAGGTGCGACAGGCCACGGGATGAGCATCAGAATACAGGTAATGATTATTTTTTATAGCAATGTCTTCTGCAGCTTCAAAGCGAGGAGCCTCTCTTCTTATAAGCTTTGATTTGGGAGTTGAGGAAAGGTAATTTTCACATGCAAATGCATCTGAGTTGAAATGAGCAGAGGCGATGAGCCAGCTGCTGAAGAGACACAAGCTGCCTTCTCTTCTAAGACCAGCGAGGCAAGAGCTTGAGAGAAGCAGCGGTTTCTTGAAGGAGGAAATGTAGAAACCTAAGGTGTTTCTTTGCTTGCATCCCCTGGATGTATTCCTGCTTCCATGGAGCTCTCCAAGAAGTATTTTATTGCCTGGGGATCCAGTGGTTAAGAATTCACCTGCCAGTGCAGGGGACATGGGTTCTGTCCCGGGTCTGAGAAGATTCCACACGCCATGGAGCAACTAAGCTCGTTGGCCACAACCACTGAGCCCACACACCACAGCTACCGAAGCCTGCATGCTCTAGACGCTGTGCTTTGCAACAAGAGAGGCTGTGGCAATGAGAAACCCACACACCACAAGCAGAGAGGAACCCCTGCTGGTCGCAACTAGAGAAAGCCCACACACAGCAGTGAAGACCTGGTTCAGCCAAAAATAAATAAATAAATTAAAAAAAAAAAAAAAGACTCACCTGGCAGAAAAAAAGGGCTATCTACTATGGTGAAGTAAAAGGTCTGGGTTTTGAGAATCACATGACCCCAGAGCCTACTCTTCTGCCTACGGGCTGTCTGACCTCATCATGGGGTGCCATTGGGATCAGTGGGAGTCACCAAGGTTCCCACTGAATCACAGCTCACAAACCCAGGGAAGGAGCAGCAAAAACCACCGCATTTTCCACGATAGCCGTTTCTAGGTGAACCCCTCACTCAAGCGTCCCTTTCAGTGGTCTCCCTTCCCAAGTCACACCAAGACCTTGATGCCCGGATAACACACAGCTTTCCACCCCCCGGGTCTGTGGCTGAGAACCTCTGCCATCGCACACCGTGTGTGGAGCATGGAGCTTTTCGAAGGAGCCTGAGCCCCATGTGTCCAGATGGACCCTCAGTCACTCTTTCTCTTGCCCATGCTGTTTGGAGAAGATAAGGAGCTCTGGTCTTCCAACCCCCAGCTGTTCCCCCAATGCCCTGCACCCACTTTGAGGAGATTCTTTTATGTTTTTGTTTCTGGTCAGTTCAGTTCAGTTGCTCAGTTCAGTGCAGCAGCTCAGTCGTGTCCGACTCTGTGACCCCATGGACTGCAGCATGCCAGGCCTCCCTGTCCATCACCAACTCCTGGAGTTCACCCAAACCCATGTCCATTGAGTCGGTGATGCCATCCAACCATCTTATTCTCTGTTGTCCTCTTCTCCTCCTGCCTCCAAGCTCTCCCAGCATCAGGGTCTTTTCCAATGAGTCAGCTCTTAGCATCAGGTGGCCAAAGTACTGGAGTTTCAGCTTCAACATCAGTCCCTCCAATGAACACCCAGGACTGATCTCCTTTAGGCTGGACTGGTTGGATCTCCTTGCAGTCCAAGGCTCTTCTCCAACACCACAGTTCAAAAGCATCAACTCTTCTGCACTCAGCTTTCTTCAGAGTCCAACTCTCCCATCCATACATGACCACTGGAAAAGCCATAGCCTTGACCAGATGGACCTTTGTTGGCAAGTCACTCAGTTGTGTCCGACTCTATGACAGCATGGACTGCAGCACACCAGGCCTCCCTATCTGTTACCAACTCCCGGAGCTTTCTCAAACTCATGTCCATCTAGTCAGTGATGCTGCTATTTGTGATTCTCTCTAGGTTCCCTTGGGGAACACACACCAGCAGGCCATGTAGGGAGGCTCTGCCTTTACACCCTGCCCACCTCCTCCCTCGGAACTGTGAGCATAGGCTGGTTTTCTGCAGGACCAGGGGAGGGGTGGGAAAATCAAGAGGAATTGAATGCCTCCTCATGATGGTGTCGCCATAACCTCACTCAGCTCCATGTAAGTGTGGAAGTCACGGCTCACAGAATAAGGGTAAGTGCCCTTGCCTTTCCCGCAACCCTGGACTAGAAGTTAAGAGAATCCCCCCTGGCCCTCTCAGTTCCATGATTCTCTGAGTCTGTAAAAGAGGAACAACTGACTGATCACTTCATCATGACTTTGGGTGAAGCCTCTACTAGATGCTGGCCACTTTTCATTATCAAAAGCTTTGGCATTGTCAGTGCAGAAAGGACTAAAGGGCTTCAAGTGCACCTTCCAAGTGAATGTCCCAGTAATTTTAGGAAGGACTGGGTTGGGGAGATCCCCTGGAGAAGGAAACAGCAACCCACTCCAGTATTCTTGCCTGGAGAATTCCAAGGACAGGGGAGCCTGGTGGGCTATAGTCCATGGGGTCGCAAAGAGTCGGACATGACAGAGGGACTTTCACTTCACTTCACATTGAGAAATACACCCCTGCAAAGTTTCTCACATCTGCTTCTTGTGGTTAGCCCAAATATTAGCCAAGAGGGTTTCACTAGATGGTTGAAAGCTCTGACCGCAACAGAAGGAAATAGGAATTGAATGAGAACATATCTAATATCTGGGCATGGCCAGGAAAGCCTCTCTGGTTTTCTGCTTTTGCCCTTTAAGTGATCGCCAGTTTCCAGACCCTGATAGGTAAGGTGACACAGGGCAAGTTGAAGCTCATTTTCTCTTGTTCCAGACAGAGATTAACAGCTGATTCATGATTATATGATTTTTCTCCATATTTTTCCAACTTGAGGCCCTCCCAGTGATACCCAAGTCTCACGAAATAGACTAAGTACTTTGGATCTTACATGCAAAAGAAACACATGATAACCCCAGAAGGTGGAGAAAACACACCAGCTAAGGATTTGAGACCCAATGGATGACATGGCGGTGAGCTGCCTGGGTTTTCTCTGCTTCATTCATCCTGTCTTGGGGCTGAGGAAGCCAGTGAATGCCAATAAACAGGGGAATAAACAGCTTCTAGAAAAGCCTGCTCTGTCTAGTGGGAGGACCAGGAAATAGGCAACCTCGCAAGACAGAAAACTTCCAGACAATAACACTCCAGTCTACCCAGACACCACAGGAATATGACAGCTCCACTCTTAACCATGGGCCTCCCCTGTGGCTCAGTCGGTAAAGAATCCACCTGCAATGCATTAGACACAGGGATGCGGGTTCGATCTCTGAGTTGGGAAGATCCCCTGGAGAAGGGTATAGCAGCCCACTCCAGCATTCTTGCTTGAAGATTCCCATGGACAGAGGAGCCTGGCAGGCTACAGTCCATAGGGTCATGATGAGTCAAACACGGCTGAAGCAACTGAGCACTCTTAACCACACCTGCGAAAGCTGCATGGGGAGCTCAGCCTTTGACACTCACGGGCTGTAAAGAGGTGTCCCTCCAGCCCTCACCAAACAGCTGATTCAAGAGGCCAACCTGAGACCCCAGAGGCCCATCTGAGATCTCCTGCTCCAGCCCAGGGTCAGTGGAGACCGTGTGGGGGGCTAGAACTCCCCCTCCTCACTCAGCAGTAGTGATGGGCCCTCCCCACCTGTGTGTTCGTTGAGGCCGAGTAGAGAACCTGAACTTGTCCTCTTATCTATCAGTAACAAAGTGGCACTAAGCCTGCTCTTGCCAGAGTGGTGTGGAAGAAAGCCAGTGAAGGTGGCGGGTTCCCATCAAACCCTGAGTCTCAGAACATAGTACCAAATGCTCAGGTTTCAGTGGAAAACCAAGAACCAGGAATATCTCAAATTGAATGAAAAAAAGAAAAAGTAATCCATAGATGCCAACACTGACATATTTACAAAGATTTTTAAGGGGTCATGATTTGATTTCCACAAGAAATTATGAATCTATTTGAAGAAAATGAGAAAAAAAAAATAGAAAACCTTACCAAAGAAATAAGAAATTTCAGCAGAGAAATAGAAGACTTAAAGAAGAAACAAATGGAAATTATAAGGTTGAAAACACCACACTTGAAACAAAAATCTCAATGGATGGATTCCACAGCAGAATCAAGGGGACAGAGAAATAAGTGAACTGCAAGAAAAAAACAATAGAAATTAAAAATTGGAAAAGAAAATGAGACCCAGTAATTAGTATTTAAGAAAACAGTGAGTTTTGAGGTTGAGTTTAGCTTGACATAAAAATCCCTGAAGTTACCACCATGGACGCCTTCACCTCTGCAGCCTCAGCTGGTCCCC